CCTGGATGGAAGAGAAACGTCTTTAGACTTGGAAACAAAGTCCAGTGGATTGTTTTTAACTTTTTTGGAACATGAAAATGAATATTTCCTCACAGAGGAATTTTTTAACATAGAAAAACTTTTTTCCAGTTCATATTTTTTTTTTTTACCACCTTAATAAAAGCCGACCCACCAGCCTCTCTCCTGACAGGACCTCCAGCAGCTTGATGAGCATCCGTCCGTCCCTCAGGTCCATGTACAGGTCTGTGATCCGGCAGGAGACTCTGGACAGGTGGGAGTTCACCCACTTGGTGAAGGTCTTCTTCTGCACCGCCTCACGCTCATCTGGACAGAGACAGAGATAAAAGGTGGATCAGAACGGCGGATGTTTGGTCCCAGCATTGTTCCTGGAGAGCCCGGCGTGTTTGGGAGGGGCTTCCTGTGTCTGACCCTGCAGACTAAAGCAGTAAATATTGGATGGATGCTGCACAGCGCCGGTTATCCCTGGAAAGCTGCTGGTTATTGTCTGGGATCAGACGAACGGCTTCATCAGGGCTGGAGCCTCATCTCATCCGGCAGGAGGCGGATTGTTTATGCGATGGATGCTGGACCGCAGGACGCACTTCCTCAGATACTTCACAGCCATCTGCTCCGACATCAATCTCTGCTAAACAAAACGTCCTTTCTTGGACGCGTTCGGATGTTTACAGATGGAGTTAAAGGAAACCATGACAACCAGAGGAGCCAGAACTTTCAAAATGGAGAAAAAGCTCGATGTTGATCAGGTTGCTGCTTCACGGACGGCTGCTCTAATGATGCTCCACCCGTCTGCAGCTGCTGGATCTTCTACGCCTCACTGGGTCCTCGTGCTTCTCTGCTTAAGAAACCTCCGAATAAAAAACGCTGAGTCATCAAATCAATCAGATTGAACTACAGCTCAGAGTCTGAACGGAATCAGGAAGGTCAGGATCATCCAGCTCTACGCCAGGATGGCGGCGTTCTGCTCAGACCTGCTTTCACATTTAGAGACTAAAGTTCTCCATGAGAAAAAGAATAATTAAACTAAAGATAAACTTTATTCACAGCATGAATGCGATAAGAAATGACCCACGGCTGCATGTCGATAAAACTTTAATGCCTTTAATGCCGAGCTGATCTACAGCTGCTTCCTGATAAAAGTTACCTGATAACCTTTAGAATATGATAAAGCACACCTGGATGATGCTGCAGGAGGACATTTATTGGACAAACAAACCCAAACTATGATATAAACAAAAATCAAAGTCCAAAGAAATGATCCATGAAGTGTGAAAATAAATAAAAAATAACATAAAAAATATAAATCATCAAATAAAAATCTTTTAGACCAGAGGTCACGGATTAACGGACCGCGGTCTGGATCCGGATCCACCTGATTCAAAACATTTAGAAATTACCGCATGTTGTCTGACGGCAGTGTCTAATTTAACTTGCGCCTCTTCTCCTGTTAATACGGTAAAGCCCTGGGGAGCGTCCGGCTCCAGGCTGCACGTGATCCAAATGAGCCAATGAGCTGTCAGTCTGGGTTGCTGCTGAAGCTACTTTTAGACACAGTAAATCAGGAAATTGTCTTTATACCAAACTAAACGACTGTTGTTCTCTACGTCAAAAAAGATTTTAAAATGGAAAAAATTATATATAGATATATAATAATAATTTTGTTTTCTACTTAAAAATTCAATGGAGGCACAAAAAAAACTCATTTTATTTCAGTCTTAAATTCTGTTTAAAGTAACATCATTAAAAATGTCTCTGGACCTTTACTGGTTGATGATTTTCTTTGTTTGGACCCCTCTGAGTTTTAATTGGTTAGCCCTGATTTAGGGGAAAAGAAAAATGTGACTGGCAGGAAAATGGAAAAAAAAGGAAATGTAGAGTAGATGGATCCTTCAGGATCTCATTCTGGGTGGAAAAGGTCTATAAAATGCAACTCAAAACCCATCTGTTCAAGATTGCTATTTCTCTTTAAAAATATCTATTTCACTGTCACAGCCTCTATATTTTTTTAATGTTTTTAAATGTCTTTAAAATTATTATTTTTATTTTTTCTGACACTTTTTATGTTTTTGTACGGTGACCTTGAGTGTCCAGAAAGGCGCCTTTTTAAATAAAATGTATTATTATTATTATTATTATTATTATTATTATTATTATTATTATTATTATTATTATTATTATTATTATTATTATTATTATTATTA